TGGGAATTCTACATTAAAAGACACTGTAAAAAAAAAAAAAAAAAAAAAAAAAAAAAAAATTCCTGTAAGTGTCCTGAGAGTAGACCGAGAGTGTCTAGTGTGGTACCCAGCGTGTGGTGGGTTATCAATATACATGTTCCACAAAAGACAGAACTCAGGCATTTATTTAGTGTTACCTAAAATGTCTCCACACCTACCCTTCTACAGATGATCATGTAACTTGTGCACAGACTATAAGGAAGGCTTAGGTATGTGCCTTTTAGGAAGTAGATAAAACAGGGCTCAGGTGACCTTGACTAGCTAGAAATTCCAGGTCCCTCTTTCAAACAATCTGTCAGTTAGGAATAAGTTAGATTTTATACAACAGAAAGCAAGGTTTATTCTCTCATGTAAAAGAATTCCAGGGGAATTAAGTGCTGGGCAGGAATGGTGGCTCCACGAAGTCAGCAGGAACCCAAGCTGCTTCTGGCTTTCTTCAGCGCCATCCTTAACACTGACTTCCATCTCCAAGGCTACCTCATGGTTTAAGAGGGCAGTGGCACGTCAGCCATCACATCTGTATTCCAGGCTGCAGGACAAAGGGATAGGGACAAGCAAAGCAACAAAAAGTTGGTCATCTGAGTCAGCTTCCTCTCAGTAGACTTCTTGACATTTTTACATATAATATTCCCGTACATCTTGGTGGCCAGGGAAGCTTGGAAATGTAGACATTAACTGGGTACTTTGCTCCATATAAACTTGGAGTTTTATAATTAAGAGGGAAACAGATATGCAGCAAGCTGTAGTCTGTCCCCCAGTCCCCAAGCAAAACTGTCAGAAAGGACCTCCCTTATTTTGGTAAAAAAATCAGTTGATCTATAGGCAGCTCCACTCTGCTCTACATCTCAGCTCTCATTGATACAAGGGCTAGTCATCAGTACTTTTTTCTCTGTATAAAGAACTACAATGGCTGGGCACAGTGGCTCACATCTGTAATCCCAGCACTTTGGGAGGCCAAGGCAGGAGGATCACTTGAGGTCAGGAGTTCAAGACCAGCCTGGCCAAAAAGATGGAACCCCATCTCTACTAAGTACACAAAAATTAGCTGATAGTGGTGGCGCATGCCTGTGGTCACAGCTACTCAGGAGGCTGAGGTGGGAGAATCGCTTGAACTCAGGAGGTAGAGGATGCAGTGAGCAGAGATTGCCCCACCGCACTCCAACCTAGGTGACAGAGCAAGACCTCATCTTAAAAAAAAGAACAAAAAGAACTGCAAGAAGCATGAGAAGGGTCCTCTCCCCTGCTCTGTTTCTTGCACTTATCACTTGCACTCACTACTAGATGGGACCACATGAAGAGTTCAATGCAGAACTGCAAGAAGGCCCTTCAGCATGTGGGCATCTCTTACAAGGCCGGATGACTGAGCTGAAATGAATACTGATGCTCACGTTGACTGTGATGCAGTGCACAAGGGGCCCTGCTGTAGCAGTGACAACCTGGATGCTCTGCATTTCAGATGGACAGGAAGAGCTCTGAGAACGTGCAGGCCTGGGCACTGGGGTTCAGGACCAGGTGAAGGGGGATGGACCCCAATCCCTTCACCCTCATCCTCTAAGACAGGTAGTACCCAAGATGCCTACAGCATCTTCCCATAGGTGTGGGCAGAAAACCCCACTATGCTACCTTGAACTCTCTACTTAGTGCTTTCTTTCTTTTCTTTTGTTTTCTTTTTTTTTTTTTTTTGAGACAGAGTCTCGCTCTGTCACCCAGGGAATGCAGTGGTGCGATCTTGGCTCACTGCAACCTCCGCCTCCCAGGTTCAAGCAATTCTTCTGCCTCAGCCTCCTGAGTAGCTTGGATTGCAGGTGTATACCACCATGAACGGCTAATTTTTGTATTTTTAGTAGAGATGGGGTTTCACCACCTTGGCCAGGCTGGTCTTGAACTCCTGACCTTGTGATCTGCCCGCCTCGGCCTCCCAAAGTGCTGGGATTACAGGCATGAGTCACCACACTCAGCTAGTTAGTACTTTCTCAAACTGTAGCTTGATTCTCTTTTAAATGGGAGTGTCTGAATATAGGGCAACTGTGGGAAAGGAAGCGTGATGAGTTTGGGTTGGAATCCTGGCCTTGCCCCTTTTTTTCTATGTTACCTTGCTAACTTGTTTCACTCCCCCCAAGTGCCCATTTCATCAGGTAAAATAGGAATGGTAATGACACCTCCCTTGCCGAGCTGCTCAGAGAATTAAACAAGATAATGTAGGTGAATGCATTCAGCACAGTGCCTGGGGTACAATAGGTACTCAATAAAAGAGAAAATAAAATGGAGATAGATGGCAAAAGCCATTGAGAAGACTCAACTCCTAAACAAAGCTTCCTCTGAAATTAGAGAAATTTGCAACCCTGGCATCTTGGCTGGAATCCTAGGATACGATGGGCACTTATAGCAGCAAAGCCAGCCACAGCTCAGGACACCACGCCCCAGAGGGCAGGGGCTGCTCCCCATTTGAGGGCTGCCAAGCTCAGGAAACTGATTCACATTTTGTCCTGGGGACACTGCACTTGGAAAAACATTATTGATTCCATGGCTGAGGTTGCAAAGGGAGGAAGAAAGATTGAATTTCATCACATAAAGCACTTATGCCTATGGTACTTTCTCTTTAGAGAGGCACTTGGCAGTCATTTTCATTAGCGTCTCTTCTTAAAACAATCTCAGAGATATCTGATCCCCATTTTCTAAAGGTAGAACATAGAAGAAACAACTAACTGAAGAGTGTGTGGCAGGATAGCAAAAGTCAGTTCATGACCTCCAAATTTCTAGCATATTGCTTAACTAACCACGCTTCAGCAATCCGCTCCACAAATGCCTGGCAGGGGCCTCTCCATCATATACTTATTGCTCAAATTAGTCACTCGTGATCACCAGAAAAATGTAGACACGTAAATCTAGGCTACATGATTCCTTTTACCGAGGAGCTTAGAACAGGAGGTGAAGAGTGAATTTTCCAACCAAATCACAAGTGAGTCTGCGTCCAGCAAGTCCTGGAGCAGGGATGTTGGAACTATTCCAGGATACATGTTACACCATGGAGCTCTGGGTGCCTAGGAGCAATGAAGACAGGGCGGGGCAGTGAAATAACCAGCTCCCACACTAACCGAAGCCTCCTCACCAGGGATCTAGCCACGCTGCCCCTCACCTGAGGAACTCTTGCCTTTGATCACGGCAGCATCACAACCTGTCCCTGATACCAAAGGGAGAAATACTCTTGGCCTGTGCCCTCCTGGATGGATCGTTTTTCAGAGAACAGGACGTTTAGTGAGTTTGTCTCAGACCGCACAGAGAACATGGTGAGCCTACTAGGGCTGATAGGCTGAGGGAATTAAGAAGGCAGGGATAGTGGCTTTTCCTCTGATGCTAAAGCCAGCAGGTACCTGAAATGAGCCCCAAAGCTCAGGCCTGACTTCATGCCTTTCTTGTCCTGGGAAGAGGGTTTATCAGATTCCAAGGAATGCATTTCAGTTATCTTTGTTTCCAATACTTAATCAGCTCCTTCCGCTCACCGAGCCAGGGCCCTTTCTATCTCTTTTCCAGAAAAATCCCAAGGAACAATTGTTTTGGATTACTTAGTGGCCCCAGGGTGGAAACTGCTTGTGTGGCCAGCTAGACAGGGCTGTTCAGACAAGGAGACCTGACCTGGAGCTTCTGGGATGATTCCAAGGTATTGCATGTATGTACATGTCTGCTGTGTGTTCATTAACTGCTAGGGAAAAAGCTCTGGGTAGTCACGGCCATCTACTGTCAGTTTTCAAGACAGGCTTCGGTGGGCAACCAGCTTGGTGGGAGGCGTCCTTAGTCAGCTGGGAAAGTAAGGCTGCCGTGCTGTCAGACCTGAGAGAGGCATGTGCCATACTCTTTCTGTTCTTTGGCACTCTCTGGCTCTTCCTAAGGC